GCTCGCACGTGTACCTTCTTGAGCTAATGATAATTCTCTCTCTAGTGATAATCGCACTCCCTCCTCCAACACTACGAAGCGTTGAAGGTACATTTTATTGTGATGTACGACAAAAAAAATATCCGACGCGATAATGTACAATGGAAGTATCGTGACTTTTCGCTCCAACAAAATAACACGCGTATCCGATATCCGCAGTTTCACATACTAATTTCACTCTGCAATCCGTTTATAACTATAATTAGCTATGACGAATCGTGCAATCCGTTATAATTATAATGACCTGTGACAAATCGTATTCATGGAAGGCAGTAATGCAATTTCGATAAATTAATATGTATATCAAATTAATTATTCTCATTTTTCATTTGCGTACATACATTACGATAATGATGACAACCGAAACACAAGGAGGAACAGTACACAAGACATCTTTTTCTCGCTCTGTGACATAGGATGGTCAAGAAAAAAAATATATATAAGAAAATATAAAGCAAAGGTTACTGACATCAATAGTCTATTCGTCCCACATTGTGACGTTATTTATAAAAAAAAAAAGAAAGCATTTAATGCTTGCGTTTATGATTAAAACAAAATATCACACGTATGTAACCGAAAGTATTAAATACCAAATAAGGGGCAAAATCACAATTAAAAAATCACAGGCGACTCGTCAAATAAATGCAAATAAAATTCTTGTAGAACACCCAATCTACGGAGTAGACCACCCCAATTCACGGAGCGATTGGACGCTGCTCACTTATTTACAAATACTATTAAGATATGCATACACCGAACAAATGAATGGAGAGCGAATTTTCGTTATTAAAGCTCTAAAAATGTATCTGCACAGTAAATATAAACAAAATTTAATTTACGTTTATCTCGACAAAGTTGGTATAGAAAGAAAATTCAATTTTACGTTCGTCATTCGCTTGTTCACTCGTGTATCCACATCTTTTGAGTATCCTAGAATTTCATAATTTATATACTTATTCTGTACACATACAACCGAAACTACCACTAGTGAATTTATAATGTATGTACATAATTTGGCGGATTCTGTTCGAAAATATTTAGAAATCCTTATACGACATACACAGTATGATCGCTATAAACCTATATTCAACAGCTGCATTGCCTTTTATTTCACCAATAGTGGCGTCATATAAGTGGAAGTTTTTCCATCAGCCTTCGCTCGATTGTTCATATGAAACAAAACGTAAATTATATAAATATCGAGAGTCCCGCCTATTATCTCTCGTAAATAATAGCTGATCGTCACTACCGTTCCCAAGAAAAGCAAAGCTTCAAAACGGACGATAACGTACGTCGTTTCTACCATTGTGCTTCTTCCTTAGACCTCATTTTATCCTCCTTCTTGAGATACAATCGTTGATAATCCTCCTGATAAGTAACATACTGCGCGTTCGATTTACCAGGCTTTTGTATGGTACCACCGACCGGCGAATTATTAGGGGAGAATTTCATCTCTTGTAATTCCTGCAACTCCTTCAACGACCTCATTACCATTTGGACATCCTTTTCCTGTTCTGTTGGTTGTACTGTGTTTCCTAAAGTATCATCCGCAATGAAGCCGTCTTTCCGTTTATCAGTTAATCCTCGCGGCGAAGAATCATCATTGATGATCTGACTGAGGAAATTAGTCGCAGCAATTGTTTCCTCGTTTTGCCTTTGTTCCTGTTCCTCCTTCGAAAGGGTCGTTTGCTGTGGCATAGGCACTACGTCTTGGTTAGGCCCTATCTGTTGCTCAATCATCTTGTGATCTTTCTTTCTTTTCTTTTGATCGTGCGACGATTTAACCTTGACTTCCACACACCGCTCTCGTTTCTTCTCCTTTTTGTCAGCTTTGTTTACCATTGCGTCAACATCTTTGTCATCCAATTTCTTTTCGCATTTAACGTCTGTATTCTCCTGCAAGTACCTGTGTTTCAAGGCCTGTGCTGAATAGGAAGTATCTTGTCTATATACGGAATGATGTCCAGCTTGGGGAATTTCGTTCGTTTTAGAATGGCTCACAGGTTCCGGACATGCTGTGATAGAAACTCTATCCTCTATCGCTTCATTTATCTTTGCCGTTAATTTGTCATAATCAACACGTGTTATGGATAAAGAACTGTTCGTTAAATCCATGAAATTAAATTTCTCAACGTGACTCTTAGCTGGCTTTTGAGCCATCAGTTGTGATGTAGGTACTACAGAAATTTTACCAACTGTAAAATTATTAATGGAGACTGCGGCGCATTCCTGCTGCTGGCCCGCACTATTCTCGGTATGCTTGTCTTTATATTTATTACTATGTTGCTTCTTATCGGTATTGACGTCATTAGACTTCGCTGTCGCTTGACTTGGAAAATTCGTCGAATTTTCGGTAATAATCTGAACTTTAGATACATTCGTGTTTGTCTTCTCATTTTCTTGAGACGGAAGATTATTCGTATTTGTCGTCTCGTTCTTCACAACAATATTACTAACTTGAGTATTAGCAGAAGTGGTAACGTTGTTTGCAGTGACCATTTCTTTTGGTTTCTTCATCTTCTTCTTAATGCTAAAAATCATAATAATCCATTAATATAAAGCAGTACGTGAATACCGACATCAAAGAAATGTGTAAATATAAGATAGGAAGGAGGCAAGCCGTATATAGTAAGAAACAAAAGTGTAAAGTTAATTATCTGTGTGCATTTAATAGTAATAATAAAGAAAGAATGTATGCTAACTAAAATAATTGAAGCCATTTTTGCATGTACAAAAAACTAAAAAAGCATTCGGAAAACAAATTAACATTGACATTAAACATTTGCGTACAAGTTAATATTATAATCTCATAATCTTGTTATATCTATAAATGCGTTAAATTGAGTATCACTTTCGTAGAATATGACTTTTTTTCTAGGAATCCGTTAATGTTTCGAGCGAAGAAGTAGAAATCAGTATTAATCCATTACACCTTCCTAAAACATACAATAATCAAGCGATGAAGCGATAAAGCGATCAATTAACTTTCTGACATAGTCATGTGACGACAACGGGTCAGATTTCTTGACCACAATTCGCAAAGAAATTAAATCAATCTTCAAGGATCTTGATCCTAAGACACGCACTCCTTTCATTTTAGTGAAAATAGAAAAAACCATAATAGGGAACGAATTTCATGCACGAAGCAAAGCACAAAATAGCGAAAGTTTTCTTGTAACGCTTGTAGACAGGGTCAACAAAAAAATATAATGTAATATATTAACAACATAATATAGTACTTACACAGGTTCAACGGGACTAGCATATTTCAGCAAAGTTTGCAATCGTACGCATCCAGGCGGCCACAATGGTAAGACACTCGTATCCATGAAAGTAGCAACAAACGATTCCATACTCTCCTTTCTTGTTCTGAGAATTTTGAAATAATGTCTCCTGGCGTTTGCAATTTCAAGAACGAGTTTCCTAAAATTGAGATTTACATATATATGTGTGAATGCAAATTCAAGTTGCACATGAATGACATAGCTTTGATTAATAACGCACTTTGATTCGTCAGTCCATGGAAATCGTTTTCGTGGTATTTTCGGCTTTTCTGTGTTTTTCGACGAACCATCAGCTTCATCGCTGCTCTCTTCGTCTGCAGGAAATCCCTCGAAACCCCTGAAATCGATCAGTCAATTACGTTCGGATAAAGATAATATTACGAAGATTCATGATTCGCGATGACAAAGAATGATGATCAGCATTTGTTGCGACAGAATTCCGTGATCTTAATCTCTCCTTTAATAATACTGGTACATAGTCAAATCGCCTAGCCATCGAATTGTGTCCCAGATCAAATGCGTAGTTTTCTTGTTTGACACAAAAGATGATTCTAGTGATAAACTAAACACTGATACTGATGATAAAAAGCCCCGCATCTTCCTCTGCTTTTTCAATAATAGATGAAGAATAATGACTACGTTAAATAATAGAATGTTTTTTCTTCTATACACAAACATAATTGATTGTATGAATGTTGGTAATAATTGAAAAAGCAAAAGCATGTAAGCATGAATAGATTAGAAGGAAAAGATTGAAGGCAGTAGAAAAAGAGAGGAAAGAGAAAGAGCAGTCGAAGAGGCGAGAATAGAAAGGGGTTCCTCTTACGAGGGGCGCCTTACCAACAGTACCGATATATCTCCCAGTATAATTGAGGACTGAGAAATAAAAAATTACAATAAGTTTATATTAAAAAAATTATAAACTGTAGTTTTATATGTATTATCGCGTTCTCTGGCAAACTGGATTCTTTTTTATTCAACTGTGTTTAATATTATAAAAAATTAACAATTTATTATTAAATAGAATTAAAGCATAATCTATTATTAAAGAGCAGAAGTGGAGTGTCGCAAAAATCAAGACTAAAAGCTGCGACATATCAAACCACTGATACATACGATATATAATAAAGTTACTCACTTTTCATCGGTAACTTTCTGACATTCCTTCATATATTTGTCCATA